TCATTATCCTAGAGGCAAATCCTTAACACCAAACTTACATGTCCCATACACCACACTTAATATTATACCACAATTTTGATCATAAACCTAGTAAACCATTCACAAGACTTAGCTGTTTACCCCCAAAAAACAAATGCAACCAAGTATTAAAGCAAGCCATGTCAAATTGTCCTATCTTTTGCTATTTGATTATCTCTACTCTCTAGTTTCCTTTTCTCCTAAAACGAAAAGAATACTCAGAATCAAGCAATTGGAAATAATGTGTAAAAATGGCTTATTCATCCATACATTCCATCATCAACAAAATTAAGCTCTTTTAAACCAAACCAAACTCAAGCATCAATTGTTTGAATGGAACAATACAAAACCCAGAAAGTTATAATAACCATATTTCAATAATCTAAAACAAACCCAATAATCACAGGGACCGAAAAAATCAACCCAGATCATGAAATTTGAAGCTAAACGAGAAAAAGGTTGAGAATTTTACTAGCTTGAAGCTTCTTGTGAAGCTTGTGATTTCGACGACAGCACCTCCTCTTGATCTCTCCTTAACCGTTGAGCTCCCTCGAGTTTTCCAAGATTGAAGCAATGTCCGGAGACGACATCGTTTCCCGTTTCCTATCTTCGTCGGAAATAGAATGTTGTCTGTTTTGCCAGATTACTTCCAATTTGAAGCTTAGATCTTTCACTTCAATCGACCAATTAGTTCGATCAAAAGTTATTTCTTCCCCCCTCCTCCCCCCCCCCTTGACTGATGTTTGAATTAAATATTTTACTCGGTAAATATTATAATAGAAAGCTGATGGGGTATTCTTTGTTAAATTAAAAAAAAATTCTAAGAAGGAAAATTAATATATCAAGCTTATAATTTAACAATAAATAATAAGAGTAATATTTTATGAAAATATTAATTAATTAAAGCTAATCGATGGATAATTTTGATTTCTGTACTTTTTTGTCTTGGTTACGTCTTAGTTATGACACGTGGAATATTTATAGGGAGATTTCCATATTTGCCACTTGTTAGATTCAAATGTGCCACTCTTCTTGGTTATTTTCCGGCCCCGCTTGAAATTAAGTTTGGACTAAATAGGAAAAAAATCTAAGGGTCCAAAACTAAAAATGGAAATATATTCTCTAGCGCTCACTTGCTTTAAAATTAGGGCATACAATTAGGGCTGTAAATTAGACGATTAAGATCGCAATCTACTCGAGATTGACTCGGTCAAGGTTCGATAAATATTCGGATTGAATGGACTCGACTCGAATTCTTAATGAGTCGAAACGAGCTACTTGATACTCGACTCGAAAAGCTCGTGAGCAGCTCGAAAATATAATATATTAAGATTTTATTTTAAAAAAATAAATTATTAATAATATTAACATTTATATGTTGATTTTTTTTTAAAAAAAATACAATAAGGCTTTCATGTATTTAATGTTCAAGCTCGAGTTTGAGTTCGAGGATTCAATCTTGTTAAGTTTAAGATTTTTTTTTCATTTTGAGCTGCTCACAAGCTTCAGTTCAGGATTTCGAGTTCGAGTCGAGCTTAAAAATTTTAAGCTCGCGAGTTTTCAAGTCGAGTCGAGCTCAGCAATACTCGAGCTCGACTCGGCTCGTTTACACCCCTACATACAATACTAAAAATTAGTATATCAGAGATGTTTGAATCATAATATTGTGAATGGATGAATCATAATATTGTGAATGGATTAATTCTGAAGAATCAAATTTAAAATAAAATTTTATAATATTCGATCTATATTAGTTTTAAATAAAAAAAGTAGGGTATATGCTTTTATTCAGTTAAAACTATAAATGGATTTTGACTCGATCTCGACGGGTGTCAACTAGATCCTGTATGATCGAGTTTTTATTGTTGTATAACATTTTGATTTTGGTAGGGTTTTTAAGAGTAAAATCAGGTCGATTTCAGATTTAAGTTGAAAATAATTTATCCAACAATAATATAATTCATTTTTTTTATATATTTAGATATAACTGATATAATACCCTTCTATCTATACTAATTTTAATTAGGTACACATTTTACCTAATAAAAATGAGAATTATATATAAAGTATAAAGTGTGAGTTATTGTCTTAAAAATTGGGTTAAATGAAATTTTCTTTAACATAGATCGAGTCAAATAATAGATAGAAGAATATTATACTAAAATTGGATTCGGATAGACTAAAAATCGACCTATTTTTCATGATCCCTAATCACAACCGTTTAGTTTAATTAATAATCAAACTATCTATGTTAGTGTTATTAAAGTGAACTTTATTTTCATGTTCAGTTAATACTGGAAAACCTTAATGCCATCTTAATAAATATAAAATCGACATTTTCAATAAATATATTTTTAAACAAGCATAATTCGATAACTTCTACACCCTTCATCGAGCTCGAAATGAACTTTGAACAACTTCAAGATCCACAGAATTACAGCCATTAAAGAGATTGATGGAGCTCAAGAACTTTGATTTTCTGTCATGGGGAAACTGAACTTATGCAGTATCTTCATAACTGGTCTAACCAGGAAAATATGTTTTCCAAAGAACTAAATTCCAAGTCCTCAAGCTCGGAAATTCCGCAGGTACACGTATTGTTATTTCCGGTCGACGCCTCCGTCGTGCCGGGAGCACGGACTGAATTATCGGAACGATTCATTTCCGAATTCGCAGCAGCCTGAGATTCCACAGAATCGAACTTTGGTTAGGATTGAATGGACTAAAGAATCACGAAAGGTCAGTGTCATCAATTCAAATGTTGCTATCAATGAATTCATAAACAGCGAACTACCTGTACCTGGTGCATGTCTTCATCAATGTCATCTTCATACATCCTTAATCCTCCAGGCCAAGATCGATTCGTAGTAATCGTTTTCGGGGTCGTCGGAGTACAAGCTCGAATTCTCGAGTTATCGGCCGGCTCTTCAATGCTTATTCTATCATCGCTCATCTTAGTTTGTTTTGGATGTCGATATGAGATTCTAGAAACCACATATTCACCATCATGCTCTTCTTCTTCAGCCCCTAAATGGTACTGATGCATCACCCAATTCGACTTCTCGGGTTTACGAACTCGCTTCGAACGTTTATAGAGGACCATGATCTTCTTCCAGCCCCGGTGAACTCCGTTCTCTATGACAGGTTTGGTCTTTCCGGTCTTATGCCAACGATACTCCTCGGTGATGCTATATTGGCTTTGGATTCTCCGACGCTTTCGTCGACCGGTACCGTAAGCATTGATCGTCCGATGAAAGAAGTGAATACTGCTTCCGTCTTTCTTTGCACCTGCAGAAAATAAGATGAAATGCTCATTATAATCAATTTTGTGCATATACTAAAATGCATTAACTCTTACCAGGAAGATTCTCAGGATGAGTGTAGCAAATTCCCTGATCCTCCTCAAGCGTAGGGATAAAATCATCGATAAACGGGTGTGCTGTCGAGCCTCCAACGCCGCATTTTGCCGCTAAATGCTTTAAAAGCTCAGCGTCCGACGGATCGAACTTCACTCCGATTGGAAGGTTGGACCATTGAGGCGAAGGCTACGTATAAAAAGGAACAAAAAGTTTCAGCCTTCGAAATACATTACCGTGTACGTAAAGCTAAACGTTTCAAACTTACATCACTGTTAAGTATAAGGCGGTGACAGTTTGGACATTCACGATTTGCCTCACAGATCCTAATGGCATTCTTTATCGTCTTTGCAATTGATCTTCTGCTGCAAATGATGGGATATTTCTTGTTAAATTCCATAAATTTATCCCCATCGAGAAAAACCCAGAAACAAAAATCATCAGGATGTCAAAAGAAATGAGTAAAATCAATCAGAATTTTCTTTAATTAATTGTTTTGATCGTTAATTTATCAGCGTTACCTGGCCATGAACAGAAACAAGAGAAAAACAGAGTAAGAAGAAGAGAGTGTGAACGAAGCTTTTAAACTGTCTCTTCTGTGTACTTTTGGCCTTTGCTAGGCTAAGTAAACTCGGGCGAGAGGGAGCGGGAAACGGTTGCTTTGGGACGGTCTAAGAGGTTCGGAAAGGGAATGACTTTTATAGGTGCTTCGGTTGGCTGAACCTGATGTCTGGAGATTACTTGGCAGGTTCGGAAGGCTAGTTTGATGGGTCTTTTTGGTAATTAACACGAATTTCTACTTGCATCCCAAGCTAATATACAGGGAACGTTGGTCGGGTTGGACACCATTATCTCCATTCCAGTTTCATTAACCAAAAATAAAAAGAAAATAAAACTCCCTGTTGCTTACGCGGTAAGAGGGGTGAGTAAATAAAATCAAGGCTTAATACATTTTTTTTAGTTATTAAATTACTCTTTAAAATATATTTGGTGTCTAAAAATTATTTTTATTAATAATTGGTGTGTAATATTTTTCATTATACTTTTAGGTGTTTACAATTTTTTCTATATTAAATTTTTAGGTGTTCATCATTATATATATATATATATATTATTTTTTTATTAATAAAATATTATTTTTCAAAAGAAAAAAAATTTAAAAAATCAAACGTGTCGTCACTTTCCCTCCCACCCACCACCCACCACCGACGGCGAAGGGTCACCACCAATCAAGTTTTGTTTAGAGCTGGATGAGGAACTCAACGGTGACGGTCGTGTAACGTACGGACGGCTGTAACTGTTGAAATAGCCTAAAAATAGTAACGAAAAACATAGACATCCGATCATCATTCGCGGTGTTTTTCACAACGATCGACACAGTTTCATGGTGGGTGGGGGTCTAGGTGTTGGTTGCGGCAGTGAGACGGTTCTGATGGTGTCAACGGTGATAGCCACAGACCGACAATGGTTGATTGATTACAGAAGATGTAAAATTTAGGATTTTTTTTAATTTTAATATTAAGTTTTTTAAATAAAATAAAATTTAAAATTTTATATGTTTAACACGTGTCAGATAACGACGAAATTTAATGGTCGTTACGGTTCAGACACCTAAGTATTATGTTGAAAACATTATGCACCTATTGTTAGCAAAAATTCTTTAAGCACCAAATCATATTTTGAGTTATAATTTAGGTTATAACGGCCCAATTCCCGGGTTAGTGATTTCGAGTGAAAACTGAATGGGATTAAATGGACTAGGGAAATCATTTAAGAGTTTTGGGTCAATGTATAATTGTTTTGGTTTGGACTTGAGCCCAATAAGATCTAAAAAGAGTATTTTTAAAGTGTGCATCAAATGAAGGGATTAGTAGTGCAATTTTCCCCTAAATTATTTTAAAAGGCTTAATCCTTTTAATAGATGATGAGGTCATGGTTGATAAGCATACACAAATTAGGAAGAAGTTCTTCCATCTATTTTTTATTATTATTTCCTTGTTTTCTTCTTCATTCTTTACTCCTCTCTCTTTGATTAGTAAGAAACCTAAAGGTGGGAATTTGTTGGTGTTCATCCCTAATCCGAAATTAAGAAGATAAGTTTTGAAATTATTCTCAAGAGCTATATTTTAAGCTAACAACCTTGAGGTTTGGCCATGGTGGTCAATGTTTGGTTTTAGGAGAGTTTTGAATTCTAGAACTTTGGGAAAGCTCAAAAAACGTTTCTAAACCTTAAGAACCTCTCTTGTAACATTTATAAGCCTTTAAAAGAGTTAATAACTCATTTGCATTTTTTGTTATAGTGAGGAAAGTGGGTAAAAGCTCAAGGGGACAAGGCAAAGGAAATGAGACTCTTCGGTGGGGTTGTTTTTACAACTCCTAAGAGCAAGGTAACACATTTCTAACCTTTCTTTATTGCTTGTAGCTCAATATGTTTAGTTAGATGCATGTTTGAGTGTTTGAGCCTTTGTGTGCTCTTAGGTGGGGTTTAAAGCATGAAATCGGGATTTGTTGTTATTTATGCTTAAGTGACGACCTTTCATGTTCCTTACACGTTAAATAAGCCTTAAATACCAAATGGGACGTTAGGGGTACCTTAGGAGTGTTTTGGGAGTATTTTCATGAGAGAAGAGGTCCAGGGTCGAGGGTATCAGAATAGTACCAATATTGTTCTTCGTGGGAGGCTGAAATTTGAATGAATGTGAGGTGGTATCGATACTCATCAGGGGAGTATCGATATTGTTTGTGTAGTATCAATACTCATGGGTGAGTATCGATACTCGAGGTTACATTTTGGATTCCAATGTGCTATTTTGGTACCAATACTCAATGGGGTATCGATACCAATACTCAATGGGGTATCGATACCAAGGGGTAGTATCAATACTCCCCATAGGGGTATCTATATTGAGAAATTTTCTAAAACACCGAATGTGATTTTAGTATCGATACTCGAAGGAGTACTGATATCGAGGAGGGTGAGTATCGATACTCCCAAACGAGTATCAATTCCTATGTGAAAACTTGGGCATTTTTGCTAGCTGTTTCGAAAAAAGGAGTTGGTTTCCTTTAAGGGGTATACTCTTTCATAAGAATTAAAGTGGTAACCGTAACTAAATGTGTGATAACATAAGATTTTAATGATGTAAGATTCCATAAGACTTATGCCTTTGTTTGATACTCAAGAAACGACAAGGACACTCGAGTTACTTAATGACGCTAGTGTAAACGTGTAAGGATTATCCAAATAAATCCAATAGAGTGCTTAGGCACTCTAATACTAGTTGGATGATGTGTCGATGTTATGTGACACGGACACGTCCTGAGCACTCTAGAGGAATAAACTAGCCTGGTAAAGTACCGACACTTTATGACACGAACTTAACTTGATGTTTAGGGAGGCATTGTTGTTATATGACCAGGTCTTCCTTAAGTGTTGTAGTAAGTAAAGAAGGGTGTAAGTTCCGTAAGGCTAAGTGACCCTAAACTACACCATGATACTTACTTGTTTGCTTGGGTGTTGCAATCGTTCATGACCATATTGTATCATGCTTATACTTTGAATGCATATAGTATAGTAAGGTTATTTATGTGAAACTAAGCTTGTGATCTCAGTGTATGGAATGTGTTTTCGTGCACAGGTTCTTGATGTCGGTTCGAGGAATACGTCGTCGATTCATAGCTTTCAAGGCTTGATCACTTCCAGAGTACGTCTCGAGTGTCTAGTGGGCATATACTGTCATAGACCCTTATATGTGTTTGAGTCGTAAACTCTGTATTTTGAAGACTTATGTCGAGAGCTCCCCGTATTTTATATACGTATTATTTTAAAAGCGTATTATATTTTATATTAATGTTGCTCACTTGATAGATGTTTAAAAAAATGGTTGATCACTCATGTGGTTCCATGTGACATCGTAACCTATTGACTTTCAGGTTGAATCAGATTAGGATGTTACATATGCACTAAAGAATGTATTAACTATTAAGAATAATAAAAAAATGATTCCAATTGAATTATGCGATTTAATTTGATTTTATATTTTATATTTTTAATTTGATTTTAATTTAATTTAAATATTAATTTTATAGTTTGACCTAGTTTTACTCTTCATATGATATATATATATTGAATTAAATTGAATTAGAAAATAAAATTAATAATTGAAATAAAAATTAAATTTATTATAAGAAAAACTTAAATAAATAAAATCTTAAAAGTTAATAATATTATTTTTATGAGTCAAAATTTATTTACACCCGGTTTACACTTAAAGTTTGTTTTTTAATATAATTTAAAAAATGGTGAAAATTGTAAATCAGAAAATCAAATCAAATTGAAATTTGATTTTTATGTTATTTAATTTAGATTCTATTTTTAAAAATATTACAACAATACAATTCAATGATAACCTAAGTAATTTACCCATTAGAGAGAGAGGGGGGGGGGGATTTATTCTTCTTCTAAAATAAGGAACTGGTGTTCTAGCATTCATTGTATCAGCTAAAATGATACAGATAGATACTTGAAAAGAAAGAGTAAGATCATGAGATGCTGCATAATTCCTCATTTCAATTCATTTGCATGTCTCAAATGATGTTTTCCTCGTGCATTTCAACTTCAAAGAGATGCTTACAACATTGTTTCTAAGAAAGAAAACAAAAGAAATAATCACGCGAATCAAAGAAATCAATCTCCAAATATTACCAGAAGGCTGAAAATCTAAACCTGGAACCATGTTGTTCATGGAAACTTTTGCCATGTCGGTCCTGGCGAACGAGTCCCTCATCGACAGCATCGGCACCTCCGCGGATTCGCGCATCGAATGAGTGCCCAATTGACACTCTGAAAGAACGGATGTTGTTTAATTTCCGTAGCCCCACGCCTGTATGCAAGCCGATGCTGTGGTTCCTTTACGAGTAAGCCTCGGATTAAGTCCCTCGCTGCGAAGCTCACATTGGGGTGATCTGGAAATTTCAATGGCCGGCCGATTATGTTAAAGAGTGTCGTCCGGTTTTCGGCCCCCTTGAACGGGGTTTTTCCGAACAAGAGTTCGTATAGAAAAATCCCCAATGTCCACCAATCGACAGCGCTTCCATGGCCTTCACCTTTAATGATCTCGGGTGCCAAGTACTCGTGAGTGCCAACAAAGGACATCGATCGAGCATCGGTAGGTTCTGCAAGAAGCTCAGGGAGAACACTCACTTGATGATTCGATTCGTTCTTCATTTTGCTCTTCTTTTCTTTCTTAGGCTTGATCGAAAAGAAAGGCGGTCCGTAACATGCAGGCTGGATACAATCTGGCTGCATTACGCATGTTGGCTGCAAACATGCAGGCTGAGTACAGAATGATGGAGTTTTCGATTCCAGGGTCGAGTTTGATGATTTAATCAGTGTCGGCG